CGAAGTTCTCGTGTTGTGTTTTTCAGCTCCATTAATTCACTTATATTCCTCTCTAAATTGTGTATTCTTGTTAACATTTCCTCAAACCTTTTTTCAAAGTTCTTAGTTTCTTTGCATTGGGTTAGAACAAGTTCTTTTAATTCACTGAACTTTCTTATCCACCTTTTAAAGCTTGCTTCTGTTAATGGAACACAGTCTTTCTCCATCAGGCCTTGTTCCCTTGCTGATGAGGAACTGTGATCCTCTGTAGAGGGAGAGGCGTTCTGATTTTGGGTATTCTCAGTCTTTTTAGGTGTGTTTCTTCCCTTCGTTATATAGATTTATCCATCTGTGGTCTTTATAATTACCGTCTTTATAGTTGGGTTTTTAAATGGACGTCCAACTTGTTGATTCCCAGCGCTAAAATCTGAGCAACCCACTGCGCCGGCCAAAACAGTGGCGTTAAGATTGATGGTGCTTTTCTGACTCTGCACCAAGAACCGCCGCACTGGCAAAACCGCCTCGCCAGCCACAAGAGTCACGCTGGCGACCCGTGGGGCTCCTCCGCTGGGAATCTCCTAGTGTGTGAGCAACAAAAATTCATCTGAAAGTGTGGCGTCCTCTTGTTCTCTGCGCTTCCACTGGGAGCTACAATCCCCAGCTGCCGGTGATCAGCCATCTTGGATCTCTCTCTAATATCCTATTTTCTGTAGCACTTTTAATTTCCTTCAATAACTTTTCCTTGCATTCACAGCCTGGCTAACTGGTGCAGTCATTTTTAGCATTTGATTGATTTTGAGAATGTACAATAGTTCCTTTCACTTGAGTATTTAGAGGCCTACAATGGTAGGGTTATTAATTGGCCTCATTTCAGTACTTTTCATGTCTCGGGGAATAAGGAGGCCTGAGTAGAGGAAGAAAGATGGGAAAACTGCTGGTAGGTGGAGCAGCCAGAACAACTCATTTCTCAAGGCTGCGGTTTTGTGTGGGCGTGGTTTGTGGAGCCCAAAAACAACTAAAATAGTAACCTCAAAGACAGATGCTCACAGATGATTATATATAATAGGTAAAATAATGAAAAAGAATACTACAAGCATTACCACAGGTGATGCAGAGGCGTGGCATGAGCACGTGCTGTTGGAAAGCGAAGCAGCAGAGGCACTTGACCAAGGTGCTGTAGACCTTCAGCAAAGGGAAGCACAGTGACACCAGGCACGCCTCTGTATCTAATTGGAAGCATTGTCTCGAAGCAGAAAAGCTATTTAATTGGAGTAAGTTCAGCGAGATTTGCTTGATAATTCTTTGAAATAGGTATGGGAGGCTGGGTACCGTGGCTCACTCCTGTAATCCCAGCACTTTGGGAGGCCAAGGCAAGAGGATCACTGGAGTCCAGGAGTTTGAGACCAGCCTGGACAATAAAGTGAGACCCTGTCTCTATGAAAAAAAGAAAGAAATAGGTGTTAGGTGTTTAGTCTGATCTCTATCTGCAAACTGTGGTGAGTCATGTTGTTGGCTGGCCGGCTGGCTAGTTGGTTTGAGACAGGGTCTTGCTGCTTTGCTCACCTGAGGTCCACCTGCTCCACCTTCACGACTCCACTGGAGGTCACTGGCCCAGTCTCAGTTCACTGTAGCCTCTGCCTCCTGGGCTCAAGCCAGCCTCCCACCTCAGCCTCCCAGGTAGCTGGGACCACAGGTGTGTGCCACCACACTCAGCTGATTTTTAAAAAATCTTTTTTGTAGAAAAGGGTTCTCACCATCATCTTGAACTCCCGAGCTCAAGTGATCATCCTGCCTCAGCCTCCCAAAGTGCTGGGATTACAGGTGGGAGTACCCGGTCATGAATCTTAATTCTATTTAGTTTATTTCCTTCCCAGATTAATTTAGGTAAGCCACATATGGGTTGCAGTGAAGATTTTTCTGTTTCATGCCTGCATGGAATAGAAACCCAACTGAAATGATTACTTCTGGAAAAGGACGACTGGGGTTATTTGAAGAGAATCATGGTTTTCCCAGTAGCTGGAACTGCAAAGTGTTTAAGAGTTATGTCTGTTTTTCTGTTTCTCTTCTGGGGCCCGTAGGTTTTCTCTTGCAATCTCCTGCTTCACACCAGTCTCTCTGTATACTGGTGGCTTCTGTTTATTCCTCAACTCGTACATGGTCCATCATGGTGATGCTGCAGGCATTTTCATCTAAAATTCATAGACGATGAGCTTTCTGGGTTTCTTCTTCTTCTTCGTCCTTTTCCTTTTTTTGGAGACCGGCTGTCTCTGCCCAGGCTCTGCCCAGGCTGGAGTGCAGTGGCACGATCTCGGCTTACTGCAACCTCTGCCTCCCAGGCTTAAGCCATTCTCTTCCCACCTCCACCTCCCCAGTAGCTGGGACTATAGGAACATACCACCATACCCGGCTAGTTTTTATTTTTGTTTTGAGACAAAGTCTGGCTGTCACCCAGGCTGGAGTGCAGTGGCGTGATCTCAGCTCACTGCATTCAATTCCAGGTTCAAGCAATTCTCCTGCCACAGCCTCCCAAGTAGTTGGGATTACAGATGCGTACCACCATGTCCAGCTAATTCCTTTGTATTTTTAGTAGAGATGGGGTTTCACCATGTTGGCCAGTCTGGTTTTGAACACCTGACCTCAGGTGATCCGCCCTCCTCAGCCTCCCAAAGTGCTGGGATTACAGGCGTGAGCTACCTCGCCTGGCCTATATTTTTTGATGAGGCAGGGTTTCGCCATGTTGCCCAGGCTGGTCTCAAACTTCTGTGCTCAAGCTATCCACCTGCCTCGGCCTCCCACAATGTGGGATGACAGGTTTTGAGCCACCATGCCCGACACCCTCTGTTTTTTAACTGCTGGAAAACAGAATCTTGAGTCTGATTAGCTTAGCCTGTGAATGAATCCCTTGGGTCAGGCATTCCTGGCCATTGCTACAGCTGGAGATAATTAGGCTGATTCTTGAAGACCATATTACTGAAATGCAAGCAGTGTTTGATGGGAAGCAGAGAGGGAGATACTGAAGCAACCTGCAGAAGATGGGCTATTCTCTGGTGGTACCGTCTCTGAGAAGTGGAGAAGAGATTCAGTGTACAGGTGGCTAGATTGGCTGTAGGTAGAATGAAGGCCATACCTTCCTTGCTAAAAGGAATAAAGGAAAACTGATAATGTTTAAAATAAGAACAATAATTTAATTGTATAAATAGTGAGTGGGTGTATTTATTGGGGAGACAAATAATAACTGTGTTTCAGTGTCACTTAATGGCTTTAAGTAATTGGGTGCAGATATATTATCTCCCCATCCGAAGGGCAAGCTTTGGTTATCTGAAAGAAGGACCTACACTTAATAGCTGCTGTAATGTGATTAAAAAGAGAATGTTTTATATCTAATTCACTAATACGCTCTTTCCTTTTATTTGCATCTCACGGCTTTGTCTTTCTCTTGTTGTTGATAGGCTTTGGTGAAGCACGTCCAGTCTAAAGGATACCCAAATGAACGCTTTGAACTCCTCACCAACTTTCCTCGAAGGAAATTGTCTCATCTGGACTATGATATTACCTTGCAAGAGGCAGGCCTTTGTCCTCAAGAGACTGTCTTTGTACAGGAAAGAAATTAACACCATGGCCTGACCTCTCTCAGCTTACCCCTTTTTTCCCTTTTCCCGTGAGATACCCTGTCACTAAGTGTGCATTTGGCTTATAGGACCACAGAGCCAGAGTTGGGCAAGCAAGTCACCTTCCTTCTATTTCTCGATCTCTCCTATAATCAGTCTCTTTCTCCCCCTTTGTTTCTCTCTCCCCTCTGTTCTCTCCCTCCCCATTCTGTCCCCTTCCTCCCTCTCTCCCCCCACACTTTCTTTCTTACCTAATCTGGTGACCAAATTGAAGTGTAAGGATAAGACCTCTCCTAGTACCAGCAGCAGGAACTGTGTTCCAGTCAGTGGTCTCTTGCACGGCACTTTTTTGGGATCAAATGTTAATGTTACTCCCCAGACTCCTCTGGCAAAGGAATGGCTAGATTCAGAGTAAGAACAACCTCCCTTTTTTGTAAGCCCCCATTTTTTGTAGGGAGAAGAAATTCTCTAACATGTGTTTCGTTTTGCTGTATTCTTCATGTAGGAAATATCACTTAACAAAATATCCAGGCTTTTGTTTATGTGGAAAAAGCATCCCTTGTAATTATTGCTCATCATACTTAAAAACTTTTGTCAAAGGATTTTCATGTTCCCAGCTATAAGAACTATTTCCATGACATGTGTTATTGGCAGAATGAGCGTTAAATATGGAGTGCATAGCTTGGAGTGACTTTCATTGTCCTGGCCTGAGACAATTTTATTACTCTGTATCGACCTTGCTGGTCCAAGAACGAGCATGAAGGAGCCTGTCGTGGTGACAGGAATGGGCAGGTGCTTGCTGTTTCTGCCAGCACAGCATATTCGTTCCCTTGGAGTCCTCTATTGTCTGGGTCTGCAGTGATCTGTAGGAAGGCAGCTGGTCAATCATCATGTAGTGCAATGGCTTGTCATTTTGACCACTGTGGTTACTGATTGTCCTGTGTTGTTTCAGGCATACTTAGGTATGTCCCTGGGGAGAAAGAAAGCCATTCAGCAGAGAGTTGCTAACCACCTTCTTTTGGTTAGAAATAATGGTTCGTTTTTTGTCCCTGGTTGGAATAGTCTCCGAAAGGCTCTGGTGACTGAATTGAACTTGAGTCCATATGCTGTTTTCTTTCAAAAGGTATCAAAACTGAAGAAAGCCTCTCTAAGGGGAAGACCTTTAAACTCAATTCAGAAGACAACATTTAGTAAGGGGGATGATGGAGGTTACTAGTAATTTTCAGATGTTGTGGGGTTTTTCTGCCAACAAAACCCAATTCAAATTAGAGTTGGTGAAAGCTTTCTTCAATATTTTTTAGAAGAGGCCATCTTGAATCTATGTAATACCATTTATATATCAGCTTCACTCTACGCTCAGTTCTTATTTTGAGCTTAATTGGAGTCCTCTGAAGGAATAGTCGTGATTCTGGTGGCAAAACTAGAACTTTTAACTTGTAAAATTAAAATATCAAATGAACCTTTTTTGTCAATTGAGGATTTAGATTGATTCTTTAATCTGAGGAACGTAAACTGATGTTGCTTAGAGACCTTTAGGTTTTCACCTACTTTAAGATTGCTCTCTTGGCAATTAGGGGATTTGGGAAAAGAAAAAAAAAGATGTGTTGCTAGTACAAAATTATAGAATGTGATTTCTAATGGTTGGTTGGATTTTGAGGAACCCTCCCTAAAGAATGAGTTATGTATCTCCTCACAGAAATCATGGAAAATTGTTTATTCTTCAGTGAGTCCTTTTGAATTAATGTTCTTGCATTTTTTCTAAGTCTGTGTAAGTGCTATGTATAAGTATATAATTGTATAAATATTTATAAATATATTTATATAATTACGGTTTCATTTCTACCTTGAGTCAAAGTTCTCTCTCTAGAGTGGTGACTGAGTAATACTTACACTTTGGTGTTTTTTATGGTTCTTGAGGCTTAACAAGCAGCTTTTGATTTATTGAGCGAAGGATGGTTTTTATGTTAATTCCTCAATTGTGTCTCTGAACTTGGGTAACATACTTGCTGTTTGAAGAATAGAGCTATGTGCTGTTAAAGGTGCCCTGGAGGGTAAGACATTTGTTGGTAGTAGACAAGGTCAGAAATCTAAAAATTCAGGGAGGCACAGGGTAAGAAAAGGAGGTATGCTGAGCTTGGTGCACTGATGGCCCCCATTTGCTCGCCCAGCAGAGTCACAGCTGAAGCCCAAATCAGTCAAACATGTCAACAGTTTACCCATGGGGTTCTGTTTCATTCTCTTTACCTTCTAGTTTCTCATGGTAAAACATATTCAGAGAAGCTGGTAGCGTGTCCGTTAGTGAGGGGACGTAGTTCTTTTCCACATGCTCAGCACTTGCATATTCATTTATGAGAAACCAAAGTGACTTTTTCAACTTAGGCTACTGTGAGATGACTAAGTATACATAAAGCGATTGAAGAGATGGCATGACACATTCATCCAACTTAACATCTAACTGGGATTTTACAATACAAGAGGTAGTGGGTTTTGTTTTATTTTATTTTGAGGTGGGAGTGTCATGATCTTAGGGTTGATACAGAGTTCCATGGGAGGAGTTATGGATTGTACATGGGAAGAATGCATAAGGAGTATTGCCTTCCTCAAGAATTTAGTCCACTGACAGGAGTATGCTTCTTCCAGTTTGCTTTATTTCCTCTGCAAGTTCCTTTGCTCTTTAGGGGAGAGGTTTTATTGAATAGATTCAATGAGGTCAGTAAGGTTAGTTAAAAATAGTCATTCCTTATGGGTGTTGGAAACAGTTTGAAAAAGTGTTAAAAAAAAAAAAAAAAGCTAGGGAGGAAAAGAAGAAAGAAAGACTTCCAGAGTGATAAGAGAAAAATACAGGGAGATGGAACGAAAACTAGTGGAAAGGCCAGGCGTGGTGGCTCACGCCTGTAATCCCAGCACTTTGGGAGGCCAAGGCGGGCAAATCACCTGAGGTCAGGAGTTCAAGACCAGCCTGGTCAGCATGGTGAAACCGCATCTCTACTAAAACGCAAAAATTACCTGGGTGTGGTGGTGGACACCTGTAATCACAGATACTCGGGAGGCTGTGGCAGGAGAATGGCTTGAATGCAGGAGGCAGAGGTTGCAGTGAGCCGAGATTGCGCCATTTCACTCCAGCCTGGGCAACAGAGGGAGACTCCAACTCAAATTAAAAAACAAACAAAACCAGTGGGGGAAAAAAGTTAGGGGAATACTTTTTCAGATTTGATATCGGAAGGAACCAGAGAAGAGGCGGAACAATGCCAAATGAGAAAAGAATGGGAAACTAATACTGAGTAACGGGCATGTGCTAGGCACTTGTATGTACATTTTCTTCCCATTGTGTAAAGAAGAAAACAGGTATAGAGAACTTACTGAGGATGCTGTAGCTAGTGAGTGGCAAATCGGAATTGGAACCCAGACTCCATACGGTTTTAACTTCCATGCTGTGTTCTCCTGCAGCGAGAGAATCAAGTTACTCAAATCTTGTTTGGCTTTGTGCGTTATCATTTAGTTTTGTTCCTTTAAATCTAGGAAAGCAGTTGGGTTAAAGTTGTGGGATTTGCACTGTGCCTATACATTTTTATTTATGCCATTGAGAGGCTGATGATTGCTTTTTTAAAATGGTGCACTGTTGAAGATGTGAAAGGAAAATCACTATGTGGCATTATTTGCCAAGAATAAATGAAAAGGATAAAAAAAGAATTTTATCTTCTTTTAACCATTTTTCAAAAAT